AATGAGAAGTATGTATACTCCTTGCTTCTTTGAAGAACACATCTATGATGATAAAAACAATGTCTGGTTAAAAAAAAAAAGGCAAAGCTTTGTTTTTGAAGGGTACAACTTGTCTATATTCTGATGTATATATGCAGGGGTGTTTTGTTTGCTTGTGCAAGTGGGGCCCGTGGGCCCTTTACTGCTGTAAAGGAAGCTTGACTGAGCTGTGTTGGTGTTCCTCATTCTCTGCTACTCGCATCACCAGGTTTTGAATTGATGCATTTCCACTTGCTTTGCTTTGTATTACTGCATTGTGAGGAAACCCAGGCGACTGTCTCCTTAGCTTAGAACAGGGGCAGGAGCATGGGGAGGGTGCATTGGAGTGTCAGGCTAATTGTAAGCTGTAAAACAGAGGAGGAGGAGGACTGGTCAAACCAGTTGTGAGAGTGCCAAGAGTCCTGTCACAGCAGCCAAAAGTGTTACAAGCTAGTGACAGAAAGCTTTCCACATGCTACGCTGGATGTATGGCAGTCTCACAAGATGGCTGGTTATTCAAGGTATGCAGGCAGGCAAGCTTGGGCTGGGCTGATCTCAAAATGCTAATGTGGGAAGTTCCTACTGTGGGTGTGTTAAGTTGACTCGGTAATGATTACATTCTCCTGTGGCATAGGTGGCAGAAGGGACATAGACTGTGAGGGTGAGACAGGTATCACATGGAGGGGACTGAGGAGGAAGACACTTTTGCCATACTGTTTAGATGAGGAAGGAGCAGAGCAAGTGATTTACGGTAGAAGCCTAGCAAAACAGTGCAAGAAGGTTGGACAGTGCTCACCTGGTGCTTTGCTGTCACTTAACTTACTGTATGCTTGTCTGATCCATAAGCAATATATCATTATATAGAATCATAGAATCATTATGGTTGGAAGAGACCTCAAAGATCATCAAGTCCAACCGTATACCTGATGCCACACTGTCCACTAAACCATGTCTTGAAGTGCCACATCTAAGCGTTTTTTGAACATCTCCAGGGACGATGACTCCACCACCTCCCTGGGGAGCCTGTTCCAATGCCTAACAACTCTAACAGTGAAGAAGTTCTTTCTAATGTCGAGCCTGAATATGTAAAACGGTTCATCTGCTTGAGTCAGGATTTGCCTTTTTTGATTGTTCTTAACGCCTTCTGAAGACATCATAAAAGACACTATGTAATTTTGTTTTCTTAATGCTGTATTTGGTAAGAGAATTATACCATAACCTTAGTACTTCCCTGATTTTGGAAGAGTCACTTGTAAGGATGGGTAGGATAACAGAAGATAGATATTAAACCTGGAAAGACATGGAGCTGCTATTAAATACCTATCTGGTGTCCAAATATTATCTGGGACTTGTATTTGTATGTTTGATGTGAAACAGTCAATTATTAGCATGTTTCATTTCAACTAGCTAGTGCTAGGCTGGCAATGTTGATTGTTTTAAGCTACTTTCACACAGAACCTTTTGCTTACAAAGCAGGAGCCTTTTCTTTAGTATTGCTATCGCAGTTTTCTGTCTGTGGCCTTATAAATTAGGTATCTGCTGTATTTAGTTGCCTGAGGTAGGCGCAACAAGCTTTGAGTAGTCAAGAGATGTTTGACTATAAAGATGATCTTGCATTGACAGTTGCTCCACGTGATTTCTTTGTCTAGATATTTCTGATGTGGAAATAGTGAACCTATGACAAATTGTTAAGTATTATTTCTGTTTAAAAGTTAGTAAATAGAACATGAAAACTAGTACTATCTGGTGGCAGCAGGGGAAAAAAATCTCTGTAGGTCATGAACAGATTCAGACAGATTTGGGCAGATAGATCTGAAATCCAGTGTATTGAAGTCGGAAAGACTGGGAAGTTAGTGTGCTAACTTGTATTCTGAGTACCATTGAAAATTAGAGTAGGTCTGCAGGGAACATGAAATCATGATAACTTATTTTTCATGCTTTAACTGATTTGTGTAGTCACTACTCAAATTCCCCCTGTGTTTGATGCAAAACCTATGCTCTATTTATGGTTAATATTAAGGGTAAGATATTATGGATATGGAATTGGTGGCATTTTTTTACTCTGCAACTAATTGAATTATGCAAATAATTGTATTTCTGCTTCCACATAGATTAGTCTTTCTCTCTAATACTAATTCACAATATTATTTAAAGAAGGAAGTAACACAATAAGATTAAAACTTAGTATCCTTCCCAGTGTACTGTCTTAACAGGGCTGTGTTTTTCACCTCTTGATTTCATATGAAGATAAATAACCATCCAGTTTGCTGGCAGGACTGGAGATTTTAGGTATAGCAGCCAATGTGGAAGTTCATGTATCTGATTTTACCACTTCCTTTTGTGTGGGAGCGGTGAACTGCGGCAGCGGGGCAGTGATGAGCAGCTTCGAGGCAGTAATACATCAAACAACTGCACATTTTTGAGCGTTTTGTAACACTTTAGAAGGTACTTTAGAAAAGGCTTAAAATGAGCCAAAAACCTCCTCCCATCATTCCAGGGAAAGTGTCAGCGAGAACTTAGACTAGCATAACCACTATAGAAAAAACTTGTACCTCAGCTTTATAATAATACAGTCTCTTTCTACAGCAGAGTGTGTGGATTATGAGCTACCTGTGACAAGAGGGAACAGATACTAGAAGGTGAATGTTTCTTCCCTCTTAACTGCATCATTTGCAAATTATCTTATGGTTATTGACTGTATTAAATGCACCAGTCTCCAAACACTAGTTTTCTAACAGCTTTTTAATTAAGTAGGAACTAGTGTGTTCTGCGACTATCAAACGGAATGCTTTTTCTTGCAGTTATGTTCATTGTCTTTGCTTGCAGATTGAGCTCATCAGTTGGGGCCGTTTCTTTTGTTTATTTTAGAATAACAATAGTACATTGTGAACTTTCATTACTAGCAGAAATTATCAAAAAGTAGATAGCTACCAAAAGAGCAATTGTTTTGGCTGCACAAACCAAGTGGATGGATTTGTTGACTCCAGTGTTGACCTAAGCATAAATCCTTTGAAAGAAAGGGGAATTGAGGATTTTATTAATATCAGAGAAGACTTGTTTGTAAAATGGGGGGTCCTTGTAGAAGTTTTACATTGTATACGAACTCTCACATTCGCCATCTCTGTTCTCATTTGTAGCTTTCCTTACCATTTGCTTTCTGGTTCCTGTTGATTTGTACTGGTTTAGGGGCTGTAGCATTGAGATTTTTTGCTTTGAAACCAAAAAGGAAAAGCAGTTTGCTAGTTACTTAAAAATGTATGATTGCTATTTGATGATTTGTGACTGTTGTCCAGTCGTGGCATGTTCCTTTTCATACATTCATCCTTCTGCTCAGTTTTCCTTATGTTTTCCTCTTGTTGATTAACTGACAGTTGTAGCCCAACTGTTGGTTTCAGATACTAGTGGTAAGGTTTTTTTTGTTGGATAGTATTCCCTGGTAGAAACAGCTGGCCTGGTTAATACTTTTTTTTCCTTATCTGATTTTTATACCTAATAGTGAAAGGTGATAGTGGTAGCAATTAATCACAGACCTAATGGGATTCATGGTGTCCCTCTGTTTTAACAAGGTAAGGCTGAGTACTAAGCATGGTTAATAAGACTGGACTCTGGAGGAGTGAAGCCAAGCAGCACAAAGGGTTTCCTCCCAGACTGAGTCAAAGGGAAGGGCCTGGAGCATGTAGCTGAATGACTCGGACTGTGTGACTGTGTAAGAGAAAGCTAAACAAATGAGAAAGCAAGTATGAAAACAAGCTTGATGTTGCAAAACGGCAAGATTACTGCTTCCTTTGAGATAATTGTTGGAATAGCAGAGTTTGAATTTATAGATGAAAACTTTGCCTTGTTTTTAAATAGTCTAATTTATCCAGTATCAGGGGATAGGGTTGCATCTAGAAGTTATGACTACTGTAATGAATTTCTGCTAATGGAAGTGATATAAGAGCTTCTTGTGCTTGCTAAAATGCCAGCAGTCTTTCCAGATACCTGATCGTCTGGAATTCCTGAAAAAAAACCAAACCCCCCAAAACACCAAACAAACAAACAAAAACCAACAAAAAAACCACACACACACACACCCCCCCCCCAGCCCCCCAAAAAACAACCAACCAGTATTATACACAGCCGC